AAAATGTTGCGTCTATTTCAAATACGAGTATCCATTATAATAACGTTTGAAGTAATACAAATGTCGAATTTAATTCTTTTAAAATTGCTGCGTTAATACACTGACTCAATTAAGATCAAAAGCTATGAGGGACATGCCTTTTTTGTAGCATCAAGATAGTGTTATTGTTTGTTTTGTTTTTTTCCAGGAAAATATATTCTTCTATAAATAACCATTCAACTGTAGACGTTCTACTATTCAGAATTCAGTTTCTGAATAATAAAAAATACAGACATCATTTTTAAACCTTTCTATCACTGATTTGTTCTTATTTCTTTCTTTCAGAAACTCGATACAGTGGCTGACTGGTGGGCGTGGAATTCACCAGGTGTAACAAATATCCATCTACCTGACAGGTGATATTTTCATATATACTGGATACATCCATGAACTAAACAATTTTTTTTTAAATTAATAAATTTTTATTTGAAAGATAATCCGTAAGAAAACTTTATTACACGTCCTTAAAGATTTTAGACATTTTTAAACAAAAAATAAAATGAAACAAACTCGCTTCCGCTCAGTTCGATTAGCGAATTTGATAGACGCCGTCGAAAGAAAAATTAAAACAACTTAAAAATCTCTTAACAATAAATCCAATGTTTCGTAGAAAAATAGTAAATTTAAGGATCAATTAAATAGATTTTTTTGTTTGCTTTGGTTTGGTTTACGGCATATCAATTTCAATGGGTTAATAATGTCAACAATTTTTTTTTCCAAACATGTATTGCTGGTAGTATTTTTTTTCTTCAAAAAACTATTGCTGGTAATAATTATTTCCAAAAAAGTATTGCTTGTATTAAAACCTATTTTTACACTTTCACAGTGTTTTGACTCCAGTTTGGAGTGGGGTCAACTATTTGCCCATAGCTGGGACCCTGACAAGTGCCACTACCTGGGTCAGGGTGGACCTAGTAACACCAGCAATTAAGAGATCCTCAAAACCTAATCAGAGGCCTTGCTATTGGACGTAGTTTATCGTCTTACCCAAGACGGTTAGCTTTTGTAAAAATATTACTTACTTTTAGCAAAAGATATAACGATAAATACATTTTCTCCAGCAGTGCTTATCAATATGTTCAAAGTTCAAACAACTGTTATCTTAGAACCCTGCTCCTAGTTTAGAAAATTCCCGCTCAAAATATAGTAAAATATGAAATACCGCAATTAGCACAATTAAGAAATTTGTTTGCTTTAAAGAAGAACAAAAACTCATGAATATTTAAACTTTATGAAACGTTGAATAAACCATTTTTAATTTCTTACACTATCAAAAGAAATAAAAAAAATAGAAAAATAAGGCGGCGGAAAAAATAAAAAATAGTTAACTGATATTATTAAAATTATTTTTGACAATTTTACTAACTATTGAGGTCAAAATTTCATTGCACCCGACGAGATATTTTTAAATATTTTCATATGAAAAATTATTAAACAAAAAAGAAAATATAAAAAATGATAACGAATATTTTAATGAATTGATCGTTAATGAAAGAATTGCAGACGGCCAGATTTTTAGGGAGGACAACTCTTAAAACACGTAACGTACATCCATACTTACGAAAATGAGCATGTTTCTACGCTAAAAAAAAATTAAAATTATTCTTAAAATATTGGGGATGAACGACTTTTATGGAGCTTTTCAATTTTTGATTTGTAAATATAGTTTTCACTTAATAACAATATCACCTAACGGCCTTGAATCATGCAAAATTTTAAACGATTTAATTAAAAAATTTTAAAAAATCAAAACAATTCTTGTAAAAATTAATTATTCACCGAAAAAAATATTTTTAAGACAATAGTGTCCTTAATAAATCTTATTTATAAAAACAATTAAAAGATTTACTAATTAAATAATGTCATAGTTTTATTGCTTTTTTTTACAATTCAGAGCAGATTTTCAGTAAATAGGTGAACTGTTTTACAAAAATAAAATAAATAAATACATAAAAAAATAAAAAAATAACTGATGATATATTCTCAAAGGAGTTCTGCTTTTAAAAGTTTCAATTAATAAAACAAATTTGAGCCTTACAATTTAATTTCTCCAAATTTCATGAATAAATGGGAGCGATAACATTTATAAAAAAAATACTTTTTACAAAGATTTTCAAAAAAAAAAAAATTGAAAAATAATTTAATTCATTTGTGAATATATCCTGAAAGTTTCATTAAAATCCGACAATTATTTGATTTTTGTAAGAATTTTCAAATCAATGGCCTTTTCACCTGGGGAAAAAAAGGCGTAAAAACACTAACGTAAATATTAATTATGTCAACCACTGACGTAAAAATCAATATTTCTAACTTGCTAGAAAGGATGAAAAAAAATTTCAAAAAATAATCAAAAAATACTTTGGACTTTTCTCTTAATAATAGCATGAACATTTTGACGATAAAACTGTTTTTTTTTTTATTAAGTTTGAGGCCTTTTTTATCATGTGGAGGTACCTATATGACTTATCACACAGAAGATACAGGTCCTGTATCTTTCAAATTATCAATAGTATAACAATGGTCTCCGAACACAAATAAACCGCCTTTCCCTTTAATACGCTAACACGGCTACCCGGCGTTGCCCGCTTATTATGTTTTAATAAAAAGGGTAAAAACACCAGTAACGAACGCATTCATGATGAAGAATATTCAATCAATACAATCTAATTTTTTATCACTATTTAAATTATCATATTATATAAAAAGAACCATACTTAATCAAGGCCGCCAATGATATTTTAACGTTTCCCACAGGTCATGCTCTAAAAAAAAAAAAAAAATAAATAATTAGGAAATAATATTTGTAAAGATCACGAACGAAATATTTAGTTGCTATTAACTCAATGAGGTTAAGTTTTCATCTTCCTCGCTTCATTTAAGAACAGTTTTATAGAAAATAATTTAATTTTTAAAAAAGTTATTAAATGCTAATCCAGTAGAAATACTTTTACTTAGTTTATTTAGATAAAAATATCATCTCAGCTTACTGTCAATTAAGAATCTTTAGATCACGATTATAAAAATAATTTTTTTCTTAATTTATTTGTTTAATTTTTCTGAGGAGGTTCACTTTCCTGTGTATGGTCATTGTAAAACGTGTATTAACTTTTTCTCTGGTTAATATAAATGCAACTATTGAAGAAAAATAGTAAAAAAAGTTGTATTTGAAAGGGGTTCTAAATTGCAAGGGTAACATTATGAAATAATATACAAATTTAGTTAACATTACAAGTATGAATGTAACAATTATATTATTATTTTTTCCACTTACTTGTTCAATTTGACGATTCATATTCTTGGTTTTCCTCTTTTGTACCAAAATGGAGAAAATATCAGAGCTTCCAACTCTTGAAAGGCCAACATTAAGCTGAATCATGTGAAAAGACAAGATCTCCCAGATTGAGTCCAACAACTTTCAATAACTGTCCTTGAGATTTAGTTTATTTATCAAAACTGAGTCTGGCGGAAAAATGGAGTCTTAAATTCGAATAAGTCAGTTGGTCTCATAGAAATTCTAGTGATGTAGCAGTCGATACTAGCACATTTTCCAGACATTTTTGTAGCTTCCAGGACATGGGCCATTACGGCTTTTGCTGAATCGAGATTACGTAGTAACATGATTGGTATGTACCAAGCTTAAGAACCAGGTTAGAGTAGTTTCTGTTGGTTAGACTATTTCTCGGTTTAAAAAATCGAAAAAATAACACGTTCTGGGAATGTATGAGTGAATTAAGATTACTAAAAATCCATAACTAAAAATTTTCCAGGGACAATTGTATATTTTGTTGTTTTCATTGGAGACAAAAATTATACATCTGTTGTCGTGCTTGAACCGACGACTTGAAGTAAGCGTTAATTCGGTGTCGTCTGCTTTCAATCAATTTTTTTGCTGCCTATTGGAAGCAACAATTTTTCTCCCGTCAATTTCAAAATTTTTCTGGTTTTAAAAAAGCTTATTAATTTACATTTATTTGTCTGAAGCATTTTTGTTTATCAATTTAAATAATGAGTCAATTAAAAAAAATATTGAAAAAAAAAAAACTAAAAATAATTTAACTTTTCTTACTACTAACAACTATGTAATACTACACTACATTTTGTTTTCTAATTTAATGACTACAATTTTACATTCTTTTATAAATCTTGGATTTAATAATAATAATAAAATGTACTGAAATATTTCACTTTAATTTTTCATTTTACAAGGATTTTTAACGCTTGTTAATGGAAAAAGGGGAAATTTGTTTCAGTGAGGAAAGAGCCTATTGTCTTTCACGGAAAATGTTTAATTTTAAAAGTAAAACAAGTAAGCCTTTTTACAAAGAACTAAAATAAAATGAATTCGCATCTAATCTTTTACCTTTTCAATTTTCAATTTAATTTTTTACCGTTGTTTCTTACAAAAATAATTGAATTATGTAGTTTATGTACGTAAATAAATACATAGAAACTTGTTTAATCTTTTTGTTCAAGGTTTATTTTTTTATATTTGTTGCAAATAATTATTTAAAATCATCCTTTACCTTTACTAAACAAAAAGCATTGAATATTCTACTACAATTTGTTCATTCACTATTCATTCATTAACTTTTACCATTGTTAATTTAAAATAAAATAAATGATGTTGGGTTGAAGCTAAAAACGCTTATTATCGACAGTTTTGTTTTATGTTTGTTTTTTGTTTTGTTTTTGTCTGTTTTTTATTTTTTTTTGGCTACGTTTTTTAATGTTTCCTATTATGTCTTAAATCTACAAATATCTTCGTCTGTAACAAAGAGTACAGAAATAAATTCTTTATCAAAACCTTCCTTGAAACATGCTGAATCATAATATATGTTCTTTAACTGTCTAAATTGCAGGTCTTTTTAAGTTTAAGATGCACACAGACGAATTCGCTTTATTATAAAATAGATGAAAAGTCTCATGTTTTCATGAAAAAGGGAAGGCTTACAGTTATTTGACGTTAAAACACCGGTTCTAATACGATCACCGAAGTGAAGCAATGTCAAGCCTGGTCAGCACCTAGATGGGTGACCGCTTAGGAATACCAGGCTGTAAACCTGGATATGTGGGTGGTGTAATGGATAACGGCACAGAATTGGAAATCAGAGAGCCGAGTTCCAATTCCGGTTCATTATATTAACTTACGTGCAAATATCCATGGGAGAGGTATAAAAAATGAATTCACCTCTTCTCCCTCTCAAATATGGATTAATTAGTATAACTTATATCAGCAAATCATTATTATTTCCAAAAAATTCTTACAATGTAAAAATATTTGCCGGCTTTAAATAACATGTAAAAGAAAACATGAAAAAAGGGATAAACCACTACTCCTCTTCCCCGGTATTTTGAATAGGAGTAGAAGCTTATCTTTTTTTTTCCTGTTTGGATTGGGTTTTCGGTTCCTTCTAAAAGCTCCTCATTGTGTTTCACTCTCGTAACTCCTTGTGTGTTAGTGTCATTATCGCCTTGCTTAGGATGAATTAATTTCAACAAAAAGTTTGACAGACCGTAGAAACAAATCAATCAATCAATCATGAAATATTGTATACTTAGGTAGCAACCGTTCATTGGAACATGTTCTATTAATCAAAACGGGCAGGGAATGCTTTGAGCTTTTTGGTGACTTTCGTCTTTTCTTAGTCAAATCGTTCAACATCACATGGAAAGTAATTTGCCGAAATTATGTTATGTTCTGAGTTCTTTCGACCATCATTAGTCATTTTCAAGGAAAGAAATTAGAAAGTCGAGAAATAACCAGTATAGCGTTTGTCTTGTTGGCAGTTTAAAAGTTCTACCTTATTTCAAATTTCCTTGATTAGTCGAAAGAACTCGGAACAAAATACACAATTTCGGCAAGACTTTTTACAATTTTCTATCTGACATTAAATGGTTTGTTCAAAAGCAGAAGAAATACACCAGACAAGCTACATTCCTTGGTTCCACTAGTCCAGATCTTTACCACGAAAATCCGCCATGCTATATGTGCAGGGTCAAATCATCCTCATTCCCTTCGTATTCCATTGGTAAGAAAGAAGTTTCATTTGGACAGCTTCTTCCTAAGAACCGTTATTTTGTGGAACTGCCTTGTGTGAGAAACCGTAAAAATGGCTCAATAGATATTTACTGTTTGTTCTGTTTAACAGATGTTTAAATGAAAATACAATGCACTTATAGTCTATATCTTATTTCGTTTTCCAGTTCAGTCAGATGCTTTTCAGTTTCTTTGAAAAATGCCTCAAACGAGCTCTTTATTTGCGTTAACCATACGAACCAAATTACACCTTAGGGTCTCACAGTCTCAACATATCTGCTTTTTTTCAGCAATTTTTTTTTATTTTAAATGCAATGTTCGTTCATGACGAGGGCGATCGTGACTTTCCACAGATTCCTTTTCTTTGTTATATGTGAATTGTCATGCATTCTTGGAAAAGATAGTGAAGTAGCTTGCCATTGCCTTCCCCATGGTTTGTAATTCATAGGTTTCCTTCTCTTAGACTGGCTAGAGAGTTCGTTTTATCCTACTATTTAACCCATAACTTGGGAGAGAAGAGACAGATTTATGCTTTTCTTAAGGGCATTAGTGTAAAAGTAAACTCAACAAATTAGCCCTGAATTTGAACTAGCTGATTCCGTTTTCCTCGCCGATATTCGTTACACTACCTGCACATCTTTCAAGTTACCTTTATATTACAAACACTGTTTATGTGCTCAGATTGTGTGCGATCTTTTCAAAGAACGAGAATATTCTCGTAAAAGAATTTATCACTTTAACGACTAATATTTGCGTGACATATAAAAAGGTCTAAAAATCTTTCGCCATCTTAAATACTGAGCGAACGCTGTCATGACTTATTAAGTGCAAGTCATCCCTGTATTTGAAATAAGGTAGAAATGGAATAATCAACACGAACATTTCTTTCGACAGTAGTCTTTTTTTTTTCCTGCGGATTCTTTTTTCAAGTGATTCTTGACTTCAATTCAGCAGCCGTACTTCAGTCTACTACCTCTTGCAAATTTACTATCAATACATTATAGGATAATTATAAACAATCATAATGTAAAATTATAAAATGCTGAATGAGCGTATCTCTATCTCTCCCTTAACATTTCGATGTAAACTGTATTTTTCTTTTTGTGTACAAGATTGAGTCCATCATTAAAACCGTTATTTTGTTTGAAGACGTTCTATTCAGAATGATACGTGTTACAATAAAGACTTCCGTCTTTTTATTTACTCACATAGGTAAGTAAAAAAATAGATACAATTTGATTGAATCAGGCAGATTAATCAGTAAAATCTGAAACAAGACTAGTTTTTTATTGAAAGTCTATACATAACTGTTTATACTATTTATATTGATCGAGCTGTTGTCCTCATCTTTATTGCCATATTCATACTCGTGTGATAGACGGATATGATTTTCTTTTACAAATGTTCAACCTTGCAAGGCCAAAGAGCTACTCAATGAAAAGGGTTACTGAAGTAGGTTGTTATACGAGGAGCAGAAGCGCAATATAAGAGGATTTGTGGGAAAGATAACGGTTAACCCTAGTCTTGAAGCGGCTAACACTGTAGTGGTCAGGAAAGCATCCTTTTAGGAGTCGATACCATAAAGTATCGGTTCATCTGAAGAAGCTGTTCGAGTGAAACTTCCTTCTCATTGATGGAATACGAAGGGAATTAGAATGGTTCGACTCAGTGTACGTGGCATGGTGGGTATTAGCTGCGATGATTAGAGAATGGAACCAAGGAATGTAGTTCGTCAGGACATTTTCCATGCAAATAGCGATCGAGTGACGAGAGGCTTGTATATATTTCGTCTGTGGAATGGGGTTGTAGAATGGGAAATAATTCCTCCCCCACAAAGTCATATAGACTTGTTTGAACCCTATCACGACTGGAAAATGAAGACTGACCAGCTCCAGCCCAGATATGGCTGCAATACTTTATTTTTGGTCCAAGCGGGCTCTTGTAATATCAGGAAGAATCCGGTACTTATTGGAACAGTACAATGAATCAACCATTTTCCCAGTATCTTTAGCTGTGAATCATATACATGAGTTCCACTTGGGTTCTGGGGTGAGCTTAAGTTAAAATAACCGTTCCAGTCAAAGAGGCCTCCTTGATAGTACGCCCGTTCATCACTATAGGTGAAAATTCATAGGCTGCTCAGTAATGATGAAACTTTACTAGTTTGAAATCTCTTACAGAAGTCTGTGCTGGTTCCTCCTTCAAAAATATTCAGTTATGTGCAATGCGTGATACACGCTTAGGCGATCCTGTATCTTTCGATACATAACTGACGAGGCAGATTTTTCCCGTAGTAGGTTGCTATTTCTGTCTGCAGTAGACTAGTTGCCATGTGAGGCTATAGAACCCGGTCTGTCCTGCTATTATCCACAGCTTGGGGGAGAAGAAAAGGATTAATACCTTTCCCAGGGGTATTAGCACGTAAGTGAATGTAATGGATTCGACTGGAATTCGAACTCGGCTGTCCGATTTCTCAATCTGAGACGCTATCCATTACTCCACCGTTTCCTCTCTCTCTCTCTCTCTCTCTCTCTCTCTCTCTCTATATATATATATATATATATATATATATATATATATATATATATATATATATATATAAAATTGCTTACTAATCTTTTTCGATGTAGGCATGCCCTCATGCTTGGCACAATACAATCTTCCTACTACCATAGTGGCCAATGTCAGTTCACTGTATCGGGCAAGAGAATTTTTCTCTCCGGATTTTATCTTGCATATCTATAAGTCTAACATTCGTTCATGCTTAGAATATTGCTGCCATATATGGTCCGCTGCTCCTGCTATTTACCTGGATCTCTTTGATAAGATCCAAAGAAGAATCAGCAATATTATTGGTCCTGATCTGGTGTCTCGGCATCAGTCACTTGCCTACCGCCATAAGGTTGTCTCTCTGTGCCTTTTTTATAAATATTTTCATAGTAATTGTTCGGATGAGTTCTACGCTATGGTACCTAGACTGTATGCATTTAAGCGCAATACTAGATTAGCGGCGAGATTTCATCAATTTACAGTTCAGTTAGCTAAATGTAGCCGTAACTACTATACTGACAGTTTCTTTTCTCTCACCTCTCGTCTGTGGAACTCCCTTCCAGCCCCATACTTTCCAGACAACTTTAATCTGCTAGAAATTAAAGGCAATGTCAATCGCTATCTACTGTCCTCTTGATTTCTCTTTTTTCTTTCGACTCATTACTAATGTTTCTCTTCCTAATTTCTCCACACCCTGTAACCCCTTGCGTTGTTAGTGGCTGTACTGACTTGCTTGGGGTGACATCGATTAAAAAAAAATCTACGATAACTAGCTGTTTTCCATAACTAATACAAAATGCACAAAAATTAAAAGGAAAAATAATTGGGACTGTCTTTTTATTTTCAGATGGGGCCTGCTTCAGTTTCGCACTTCTCCAGTAAATACTTCAACGTTCCAAACTGATGAATATTGGTTCGCGCGGGAAGCCTTAAGTGAAATATACAAAGCAGAAAAGGTCTGTGTCTTTTACTAAAAATAATCGTTATGACAACTTGCATTCATTCATTTTGACTTTCATAATTTAATATATTATGCGTACCTACATGAAATAGGAGGCTCCGATAGGAATGGAATTTCATTTCGAATCTCCTCGGAAGTGAAATTTTTCCTGCGAATTTCCAATTTCATTACACACACGCATGCAAACAATGTTTGTCCAGGACTTATCTACCCATACCTAGAAAACCGGATGCGTGAATTAGCAACCAATTAGAGTGCTCCTTACTGCGCATGCATGAACATTTCGTGATATTACTAAAAAATAAGACATGACTACGCCAGCTTGTGTACTCTGTGATAGGTGCATACACAATGATCACGGTAATAGACTTTTTCTGACAAAACATTGCACAACTAGTTGTCAGCGCCCTGACGTCAAGATTTGGCTTTCGAACAGACCTCATATATATATATATATATATATATATATATATATATATATATATATATATAAGAGAGAGAATGC